TGCCCCCCAAAAACTCAAAATAAAACAATTGATAGAAGATTATAAAGCAATATTTGCCAAGGATAAATATGACATAGGAACCGTAAAAGATTATGAAGCAAGAATAGATCTTTTAGTGGACAAATTTTGTACCAAAAGAGCATACAGATGTACAATTTAGGAGAGGAAAGAAATAGAACAGCATGTGGCATAACTATTGAAAAATAATTTAATTGAAGAATCATGTAGCCCTTTTCTGCACCGGTGACTCTAGCATTAAAAAAAGGTGAAGGAAAGACTAGACGATGCATCGATTTTAGAATTTTAAATAAAATTGTAATACCCCAGCCTCAACCTATTCCGTTAATTCATGATCTGATAATTAAAGCTAGTAATCGTAAATATTTTACATCACTAGATATAAATTCAGGATTTTTGTCGATACCACTAAGGGTAGAGGATAGAAAACTCAAGCTGCAAGTGTTTTTATAAAAATAGTTCAAAATACATTAGTAATTAGCAAGATAGATAAAATACTAACCGATCAAATCCAGGTCTCAACTCTAGAGAATTTAAAAATTATATAATAGACCAAAACATCAGACTTATTTATACAACCTTAAAAGCACCCTTTTCAAATAACCTAAATTATAGAATAAACCAAACAATAGTTAAGAAAATAAGATGTAGAATTAATGAATCTAAAGAAAATAAAGCTTGGACAACAGTAGCAAGAGAATGTGTTGATAAATATAATATAACAGAGCACTCTGTAACAGGTTTTACACCACAATATTTATTAGACGGAACTAACACAAATTTGCTACCAGAAGAACTAAAACAATATAGAAGTTCAAATGACTGGAAAAAATATAGAAAATTAGCGCTACAAAATACTATAAAATCGCATAAATATAACAAACAATTATTTGACAAGAACAGAAAAGAACATGAATACAATACAGGTAATTTAGTATATGTTGAAAACGGAAATAGATTAAATAGGCAAAAACTAGATGAACTCAGAATTGGACTATTCGAAATAACGGAGAAGATATCAAACACAATATTAAGGATCAAAACCAGAAAAAGAAATGAGGAAACAGGATTATTTCACATAACAAAATTAATACCAGAATAGACAACAGTTGATAAAAATTCTCATAATAATTTTCACAACGGGTGGGGGAGATGTAAAGAAAGACTTTCTTTATTTAAAATTTGCCGCGCTTCATGTATTACGCACGCCTTTTAATTAAACACGCTAGGTGGAACAATAGATAAGATGACTAGCAAATTTTGATAACAGAAAACAGAATACTGAAGTGAATTTTTAATAATAATTTTTAGAATAATTGAGTAAGGCAAAGAGTGATTATAATAAACATTAATTATTGTTTCTTTTGTTTCACAGGTAATCTTGTAATTATTGTACATAATCTATGTAAATAAAACTTAATTAAAACTTTTGTTTCACAGAGAACATAACTGCTTATTATTATCAATGGAAAATAAAACACCCGCATTATAAATATTGTTGACAATGCAACACTATCAACGGAAATCCGCTCAGAATCGTTTTTCCGTTAGCAATGGTTTATCGTTGCTTACAGATATACATTAAATTTCCCCTCTATCATCCTTTCAACTTCTCATCTAATTCAATGACTGAACCAGTCTTTTTTATCCTAGGACAGCATTATTTTGTTGATTTAATTTTTCATTTAATATTTTCAGGTGTACATAATATAATGTTGAATTAAATCATTTTGTCAAATAATTACACTCTCGTCACGGCACAGATGTAATACACAGTTGTCTAATGCCTGACCCAAATAACGGTGAAGAAGGTATGAATTTACCACGAGACGTATGGTCCGTAATTAATAGAATCCGTACTGGACACGGCCGGTGTGGTTCCATAATACGAAAATGGTGTCTTAATAACAGTCCTGCGCGTGGCTATGACTACGACAGCTAATTAATACGTGATTGCGATTGATTGCCCGAAAAAAATGTTCAATCGGGGCATTTGAGGAATTCATACGGCAAATAATGATGCATTTAAATGAATTCAAAAACTGGACATTACCTTATGATCTTGTAAGATGGATCCTATCTATAATACACAACCATGTATCGTGTATTATTATAATTAGTATTTTATACTTTTATAGCTGACCTTTTATGTTAATTTTTTGTACACCAGTTATATTAAATAAAAAAAAAATTACAAAATTCTTCCGTAATTATTGCTTATCGTGATACTATGATATTATCATTGAACATAAGATATGACGAAATAGTAACCGAATAGATTCATAGTGATATCATACTGAATATCTCGGTGCTCTTAGGGCTTGAATTTTCGTGTAGAATGTCATCCGTTTCTTTCAACTCTCTGATATCTGTAGCATTACTACAGCTCTATCAATTCGAACTAAACAATCTGACAGTGTAGCTACCATGGACTCTTATCGTGTTATATTTTTTATCATTGCGTTAATTGCGATAGTAACACTACGAATTAATATTGACTGATACATTTAAAATTGTTCAATTTTGATCGAATTAATCTTCATTTATTCGTAGAGAAGTATGTTATCTTTTGGAGTCAATCTGATTTCTGTCTTCTTTGTATCCATTTTCTGAGATATTATATTTTATGAATGGTTTTAATTATAAAATAATTAGTACACTAACAACTCTAATAACTAAAAAGAAATTGCAAATCTAATCTGCCATGTTTATTATAACGTGTATAAAATAGTATTTAATATATAATGTATTTTAGATTCTGAGTGGAGCGAAGAAAGCTTATGGTTTTCAAAAGATGATAATTTTTATTTCTCTCTGCGGAACAACTTTTCTACCGGAAGACTTGCTCCGATTTTTACGTGTAATAACTATTCTCAAAAGTAAACGGTGTTGAAAGGTACCTTCGAGAGGTCATGGTTTTCTCATCAAATGCGAAAAACTGAAAAAAAAAGTGAAAAAGGACGAAGTATATTTGTATGATAATACAATTTTTTTTACTGTGGACAACATTTCTATTGGAGCAATTTTGCTCCAACATTTAATAATAGCAATGTTTCGGGAAAAGAAATTTCACTAGGGAGGCATTTTAAACCGGTCATTTTTCGATTGTTGTAGGAGTTCACCCAGCAAATGTTTAAACCGGGAAAAAACATGAGGAAATCGGTACAACATTGAAAAATTATTATTAAAGAAAATTTTTAAGGCCTATTTAATTATTTGACTATAATATGGCATATATATTGATGACAAAGCATCACTATCAACTAAACTCAGCTCAGAATCATTTTTTCCTAAGCAATAGTTTATCGTTGATTACAGGTATAGATTAAATTACCTATAACAGTGACTGCGCCCGTTTTTATTATCCTAGGACGTCATTTTTGTAGTTTATTTCAAATTGAATTAAATGTATAATAATAATAATAAATAATAGATTCCAATAATTGATAATAGCTTAGAGCTGCTGCAAAAGCGTATTAATTTACATTTACGTGTAAACAGTATTACACACATTAATTTCTTTACCTATTACACTAATTATTTTCAACCTATTCGTTAAATTCGAGTATGAAATTTATTTTTGTCAATAGTTATTTTCATAAACTATCGTCCAATTATATTAGACTATTTATAGATTAAATAAATTCC